GAGCTCCATGACAAGACATATTTAAACACTCTTGTTTGACTAAAATTTAAAAATTATATTGAAACACAATATTACAACGACTGCACGGTTGGTGCGGTGGCTGGGCAACCGGATGCCATGCAACGTGTCGCGGGTTCGATTCCTGCACGGGACAATACTTTGTGTGATCCACAATTTGTTGTTTCGGGTCTGGGTGTCATTGTGTATGTGAACTTGTATATTTGTAAACGCACCCACGACACAGGAGAAAACCCTAGTGTGGGGCAACGTTTTATTTAAAAAAAAAAACGCTTCAGATAATTTCGCCACACCAGCAGTCCCCACTAACTGGAAGGAACACTTTAACTGCCAGTTAAAATTATCACCACTTGCTCTCTTCGCTTTACTGTATTTTAATGTAGGTACCACTAAAATAGATAACGGCATGCAGATCACCATTATAGGGACTTCACTTTTATATGAATTAACTGCTTTCCGTTTTTCAGTAAAATTTTCAGTTTTATGTAGAAAAAGGTTCTGTACTTATGTTTTACTGAAAGGAAGGCGTTTGGTTTGTATGTTGTTATGATTCACAGTAGGTGCTTTCTTTATGGTTTGGTTGTAGTAGGTAAGTGCGACTGCCTGGCAAGGGATCTCAGGGTTCGATTCATGGGCCGAACAAACTTTATTACTGGGTTTTTAAAAAAAATCTCAGTAGTAACACAGAGTCTGGAAATGTGCTCGGTATATGGGAATAGGCTCACCCCCTATTACATGGGACTCATAACATGAATAGTGAAAAGTGGGTGTTACATTGTACAGTGGCATAATGTGCACCTCTGCCTACCCTTTCAGGGATAAAAGGCGTGATGTTATGTTTCATAACATAAATAGTGATCAGTGGGTGTTATATTGTACAGTGGCATAATGTGCACCTCCGCCTATCCCTTCGAGGATAAAAGGTGTGATGTTATGTTATTTCTCATTAACCCTTTACTCCTTTACCAAATGTTGCATAACATCAGGACGTAAGTTTCAATACTTACAAATGATGTTATTTAAAATGTTAATTAACTCCGCTGTGGGGCTGTAAGAGACCCATTAAAAAGCAATTACAACACCACTGGCCGACCGTGACGTCACGACGTGATTGCGGTGCAAAGTAAATAGTTTGTACCGGCGACTTGATTAACATATTATGGGAACTATTTTCCAAACACTCAAACGCTACTCAATTTTCATACGCTCTTAAATATAGTTTTAAAATAAATAAAATATTTTTTTCATTCATTTAACGTGGCAATGCTGCCAGTCTTTTCAGTCAGGGCGGGATCTCACGATAGCAAAGAGGAAAATTTTTTTTTGATGCCTAAAGATAATATTTTTATTGTTATTACTTTTTTTAAGGTGTAAATATTTTAGGTTTTAGTTGTTTATATTTTAAGTTGTATATATCTCATTTAAATTCTTATTAAGAAATTTAAAATATCTATATATATAAAAGAAAGTCGTGTTAGTTACACCACTTATAACTCAAGAATGGCAGAATAGATTTGGCTGAAAATTGGTAGGGAGGTAGCTTAGAGCCAATGGACCGACATAGGATTCTTTTTAACCAATTTTTTTTTTTTACTTTTTACCGAAAATCACGAACGGGGACGGGAAAAAATGGGATTACGCGTACGAAGTCGCGGGCAGAAGCTAGTAGATAATAAAATACGTTTAAATCAGGTGATATTGTTAGTTCTGTCACTACTAATTATTTGTAAAATTACAGAGATCGCACGATATTTTACTACAACTTAACCTTTCAGTATTCGGGTGTATGTTATTCTGTACTTTGTTAGATGAGAATGAAGTCTCGAGTTTAAAAAAAAAAGTCAAAATCATTTATTTCAATTTGACCAGGATGGCACTTTTGAACGTCAAAAAATTACCTATATAACATTTAAAGGTTATAATATACCTATGTACAGAGTTTGGAATAGGGTATATGACTAATTTTATTTTAATGTCCATCTGGTAGATTATTTTAAATCATTAGACACGTATTTTTTTGTAGAAATGAATACTTTCGACGATATATTGATTTGTAATGTCGCGTGACGTCACTTCAATGTACATTTTATACGTAGAAATAACGTTTTAGCTCCACTCCTAAACTTTGATTCGTTATATCTAAGTATCATTTCAATTCACAACAAAATAAAAAAATACGTGTCTAATATTTTTTCATTACCTAACTGACGGACTAATTACATTTTTATTTTCATACACTGTCATCATCCCTATTGTCTCTGGTGTATTATTACCATCGCCTATTACATAGAACCCATAACGAAGCTGGTAGAAATTGGAAATGTTAACACTTCTGCTTACCCCTTTAGAAGTACGTAATAGTTTTGCATATAAATAGATATTACATTAAAACCAAATTATCAAAATTACACCAATTGAAAACATACATACATACATAACTTCACGCCTGTCTTCCATGGGGGTAGGCAGAGACTAAGGAACGCCAATTGCTACGATTCTTACATATCTCTTTCGCTTCATTAACAGTCATAAATCTTTTCATGCATGCTCGTCGGTTAAGGGTACTTTTAATTTGACCGTTCTTTAATTGAAAACAGTTATACAATAAACCAGTTGACATTCAACCCTCAAAATAGGAAATAGCCTCCCTCCAACTAAAGCCCCACAGCAGGCTATAGCTCAGTTATAGCCTCGAGTAGCAGTTCCAGCTCATGTTGTATCGCGATCTCCAGCCATTCAAGTCTATACTCTTGACCTACAATTCTGAACAGGCGTCATTTCATATGGATTTACATATACATACATACATTACATTATAGGGGTGTTTTTCATAATGTGAGATGAAAGATGGATGCTGTTTTGAATTTTGAACTAAGTTTATGTGCGAATAGAGTTGTTTTTCTATTGAAATTGTTTTGTAAAATTCTTTGAAGGTTTAATGAATGAGTTGCTGCTTAATGAGTTCCAAATTTGATACATAAGACTTAGGTAACCCCTTAAGTTTTTCTCAATATATATTGTAGCTTGTCTCATACTATTAATGATAATACTACTATTCATGATTCTGCTTTTAAAAACTACACATAAAATACTCATTTAACATTGAAAATGTTCTAAAGAGACAATAAAATATGAAAACGAAAATATTCTAAGACAATAAAATATAAATTTTATTAATATTATATTAAATCTTAATAGCTTTTTAAAATAATAAAGCTTGGCCATTAAAGCACTTCGTAGCACTAAAGGGCTCGTAGCAGTTATGCTACGCCGCTACGCCGTAGGTCCAACGCGTAGCAAGGTACTACGATCCCGTAGCGAAGACCTTTTAACTTTTGTTGAATCAATTGAATTATGTCGATACCTCTATTTAGTATGGTGTCATAGATTCGATTCCCGAGTAGGGTAAAGGAAAATTCTCAGCTCACAGTGTAGACTCTACATAGAATGACGCCAGATTTATAGCCATTCCTCCTTATTAAAATAATTTTAGAAGGCAACTATCGACAAGAGTCTTGGATGTCACTTAGTGTATGACAATAGGCCTTCATAATATGGGAATGTTCAGCAGTGGACGATGTTCAGCAGTGGACGTCTTTTGGCTGATATGATGATGATGAATATGGGAATTTAGAAACAAACTAATGAAAAGTACAATATTCTTTAAATACAAAGAAAAAAATATGTTTCTCTGTAGTTGTAGTTGGTAACATAACATAACATAACATCACGCCTTTTATCCCCGAAGGGGTACGCAGAGGTGCATATTATGCCATTGTACAATTTAACATCCACTTTTCACTATTAACGTTATGAGTTTCATGTAATAGGGGGTGAGCCTATTGCCCTATACCAGACACAATTTCAGACTCAGTGCTACTACTGAGAGTTTTGTTTTAAAACCCCAGTAATACTTTTCCCGACCCGGGAACCGATCCTGAGACCCCTTGCCCGGCAGTCGCACTTGCGATCACTCGGCCAACGAGGCAGTCAAGGCAGCAACGAGTTGTAGTTATTGTGTTGTTATAAAATAAAATAAAATAAATAATAATGCTGTCTGTCGGTGTGAATGTGTTCAGTGTTACTTTCTTTTGTTAGCCGACGGCGGGCGGGTCAAGTGTGTGCCTGCCTTTATTCTATAGTTTACACTGCAGGTACGATGCAAAAGTTCATTTTTAAAACTTATTTTATTGTGATTATAATAATATTAGTAAAGAAAGTTTTTTATACGACGATTGATTAGGGATAACCTTCTGAATAATTAAAATACTGAATTGTAGTTGCGGTTTTAATTTGGTGGAGTTAATTTTGACTTTTTGTTATTGAAAAAAAAAACATAATATTAATATGCTATTTTGACGTTTATATATTTTACTAGCTGAACCCGCAACATCGTCTATGTTTTTCTAAAATAAAAGTATATCTATGTTACAACTTAGTACATTAGCTAACTGCCAATAAATATCCCTTTAAAATTAGTCCAGCCCTTTCAGAGATTAGCCAGTACAAACAGACAGACAGACATAAAAGTGTAAAAAGTGTTGTTTTAGTATATGTATCGTATTGGTAGATATTCATACGTTTATAGTAAAAAGCGATGATTTCAATATTACAAACAGACACTCTAATTTTATTTATCTGTATAGATATTTGGCAATTTAGATCTGCATTTTAATCGCTAATTGCTTATGATGAATAGTGAACAATTGATACAATATGGCATAAAATGCATTAATGAATATTTTTTTTTACTGTAATAATAAGTATGGTACTTCTACAATATTCCCTGCCTAGTGGTTTCGTCGCCCCATATCTTCGTCGCCGCAATTTAATAGCGTTTGCACTGATAACAGCCCTTCACTCACTTCCACTCACTTGAGGCACACTCACATATTATACCCACACTATATTGGATTTTAATTAGTTTCGCAAAGAGACTATATTTCTATGCCAAGAGAATATTTCGTACGTTTGATTAATAGTTTTAGTGTTTTTTTTTTTTAAGTAAACTTATGAAGTATTCATGGATAATGATGACAGTTATACTGAACTTTTTTATTTGAATAAAATAAAAAATTCCATAATGTGAATAGTTTTCACACCAACGACAAAATGAATACCCTGATGGTCGAAAATATCTTCTTTCAGTCTCCATTTTAGTCCCATATTACCAATTGGCGATATCTTATGCTTATGTGAAGCTGTAACTACACCTCATCATCATCAGCTTGAAGATGTCCACTGCTGAACAAAGGCTTAGTCTTCTACATTGAACGACAACTCGCCACCTGCATCCACTGGCTACCCGTGACTCTGTCGATATGGTCCGTCCACCTAGTGGGAGGTACACCTCTAAATTGCTTAACTTATGAATTTATTCATAAGTACCTGATAATTTTACAGCACAAGCCAAAAAATTGTACAGTTAAACAATAAAAAATGTTACATATTTACTATTTTACACTTATGTAATAGACATCTTATATAAAAAGTACAATCTATATATATAAAAGAAAGTCGTGTTAGTTACACCACTTATAACTCAAGAATGGCAGAATAGATTTGGCTGAAAATTGGTAGGGAGGTAGCATAGAGCCAGAAGACCGACATAGGATACTTATTAACCAAATTTTTTTTTTAATTTTTACCGAAAATCACGAACGGGGACGGGAAAAAATGGGATTACGCGTACGAAGTCGCGGGCAGAAGCTAGTAATTATATAAAAGTAAAATAATGAAATTATGTTATTATAACCCATAAATATGTATATAGAAAGATCATCCTTTTACAACCTCAAACTACCAAAAGACCCCAACAAAACCTCACTTTAAAATAACGTAAAATAAATTTCCTACAACCTATAAGATTTTCCACACCGACCTTATAACCTTTAAAAGAAAGGTAGATGTCGCTCCATCGACTCCATCCATTAGGGAGCAGCAACCTCCCCCCCCCTCAACAAATTGAGTTTATGCGTCGATAACGGGCAGATATCCTCGATGTATCGTCAGAAGGGGACCAGTGTGTGGCGCTGAGTAATGTGTAGTATGGAGTTATCAGTGAATTTTATGGGCAAGCTTAAGACTTTTGTTGAGAGATACTTACAAGAAAAGAATTGGCTTTTTTCGGTGTAAGATGACCTTTTAGTCGTGTGGCTTGGAAGTTTTGAACCCGCTTCTCATGCATGAGGATACGAGTTCAAAACCTATCAACAGCAAATACCTATATGACTTTTTTGGAGTTTATTGTACTTTCTAAGATTATTTAGACACCATTGACAAACGGTGAAGGAAAACATCGTGAGAAAACCTGGGCTTATAATTTCTTATAAGTTTGAACCCGCATTGAGCAAGCATGGTGATTAATGCTCAAACCTTCTCCGTGTGAGAAGAGGTTTTGCTCAGCAGTGGGCAATTATAGGCTGATAATGGTATTTTTTTGGTTAGTTGTTCTTTCAACAGCAGCTTGTGGTAATACCCTGTTAGACTGCTCTACATAATGGCTTCTTGATGTCATTTCATCGCTAGAGATTGTAGTATAAGTAAAAGGTTAAAAAAGGTTATCAACTGAAAGCACTGCTGTCCGGTTTTTGTTAAACGTATAATCCCTTAGTTGGCTCTCAAGATAACTGGGATGATGACAGGATATGAAAATTAAAAATCTAATTAGTCCGTCAGTTAGGTAATGAAAAAATATATTAGACACGTATTTTTTTTGTTGACTGCCTCGTTGGCCGAGTGGTCGCAAGTGCGACTGCCGGGCAAGGGGTCTCGGGTTCGATTCCCGGGTCGGGCAAAGTATTACTGGGTCTTTAAAAATTCTCAGTAGTAGCACGGAGTCTGGAATTGTGCCCGGTATATGGCAATAGGCTCACCCCCTATTACATGGGACTCATAACATAAATAGTGAAAAGTGGGTGTTACATTGTACAGTGGCATAATGTGCACCTCTGCCTACCCCTTCGGGGATAAAAGGCGTGATATTATGTTATATTATGTTATTATGTTATTTTTTTTTGTCGTTTAATAAAACAATACTTAGATAAAACGAATCAAAGTTTAGATGTGGGGGCTAAAACGTCATTTCTACATATAAAATGTACATAGAAGTGACGTCACGCGACATTTCATATCAATATATCGTCAAAAGTATTCGTTTCTGTAAGAAAATAAAAAAATACGTGTATAATGATTTAATATAATCTACCAGACGGATATTAAAATAAAAATTAGGCATCTACCCTATTGTGAAATTAGTACGAATCGCAAATCCTACTCTGGGGTCATTATACCTCTCACATAGCTGTTCTATACCATTTTCATTCATTGAGTAACTTCGCTTTCTGTACCATCATACTCAATGTCTTACTGACAACGTTGTAACGCTCACACGTTGTATTTATTGTTACTGTGTATGTATGTGTGTGTGTGTGTGTATGTTTGTTGTCGTTAACTGCACGTTGATTATGTTGATGTGATGACCTACTGCCTTCTTGACTTTCTTGAAGAAGAATTTTGTAGTCGCGACCTTGAAGATGTTTCATGATATTTTGGTAGCTAATTAGTATTCTGTGACATTAAATAGGTATATGTTTGGTTCTGGACGTGTCATATACTGATTCATAATAACTCAAATGAACCACGATTGGCTATATTTTTTACTTTAACGTATTTGATTTTGAAGTCTATGGATATCTAAATAGTGCACAGTTTCCCACACATACATAACTCTTCATAATTGATTTGAGCTACTATTTCTTAAATTTGTAAGGAGTAGAGCTCTTGCGATGTGAATGATGACGATATATCATGCATAATCTTTTTTATATATAATTCTTCTGTGAGTGTGTATGTCACTGAACTCCTCCTAAACGGCTGGATCGATTTAAATGATTTTTTCTGTATGTGTTTGAGTGGCGCCCTGGATGGTTTAGATTTTCAAATCAGCCCGGCGATGGCGCTGCAGTCGGAGTCTAGGTTATTTATCTATACCTATATAAGATGAGGATTTGAGACAGCAATGAAATAATATGATTCATCTATAACAATAGAGTTTTATTTAAATAAAATAACAATATTTTAATAAAAAAATATAAACTAAGCAACCTCGGAATACAAACCTATAACAATAGAGAATCGACAATTAATGGGGATCGACAATTATTCTTTGAGTCTTTTCCTGCGAAGCCCTCGCCAATACATGGTCCATTACGATCCGGATACATTATATATAGAAGATCAGCGCATATAAACAGAGGATATTGGATATCGAGCAATAAGGATCCAGCGTGACATCGCAATTTTGGATTGGACTAAACTCAAGCAGTGATTTAGCGGTGTAAAGCATTTAATTTAAATAATATCGTCACCCAACACTCAGGTAGTATAAGATAAGGTCGTCGTCTTGAATAAAAGGCCAGTATTATTTTTTATAATTTTATCTACCATAGTATTGTGTTCGTGCAATTTGCAGTCATTAGTCATTAGGTACTTGTTACTTGTGATTAGCATTTTTCACAGTTTTAATTAAGTTTAAATTCATACTTAATATAGTATAGTTAGCCTTGCTACATTATTTTGCTTAATTTCCTTAAAGCTGTAGCTAATTCACATTTTAGAGCACTTGTTAATTGTCACGAGTAGGTAGCTTACCCGCAATACATTTCATTCGAGTGTAGATATTATTGCAAGTCATTGTTAAAATTAATAAAGTTATTAGTATTCAAAAGGATTATTATCAGTTGTACATGTATTAAATAACAATTAATGCTTAAATTTTGGCTGTTCTATAGCAAATCTGTTTTATTTTACAACCTTAGAATTGTAGGTACTTGTACAATTAAAAAATAAAATTACATTGTCTTTGTTAACAATTGGATTTCTGGTTTATATACTGGTTTTCTTGCAATATCATTAATTGTATTAATTGCAAAGGTTGTTAATTATGTATAAAACATTAGGTGTATATGTAAATTGTATTGTTCATTATTACAGTAGATCTGTATCAGTTTCAGGTTGACTACACTCTCGTCTTCCAGTATGTCCGAGGAAAGGGATTTAATCAAAAAGCGAGGAAGCTTCAAAGGCCGTTTGACTGCTTTCGTCAACTTCCTGGACTCACTTAAGGACAAACCGTTAACTAGTTGTGATGCTTCTGAACTGCAATTGCGCATGGGCAAGATCGAGTCGTTGTATGAACAATATGATGAGGTACAGTTGCGTCTGGAATGCATGGCCGACGATATAAAATTACAAATTTCTGAGCGTTCTGATTTCGAGTCTCTTTATTATAAATCCCTGTCTAGAGCCCAAAATATTTTGATAGACTTTAATAAAGATAATAAATCGATGGAAAGCTGTAACAGTACACCTGGTAGCATGCACAAACCAGTCAAATTGCCTACGATCCAATTGCCTAAGTTTAGCGGTATATTCTAATTGGTTAGAATTTCGTGACACCTTTGCTAGTTCATTCATACTAATGATGACATCGACGACATCAACAAATTTCACTACCTGAGAGCATCTCTCGAAGGTACTGCTGCGATAGTAATTAAATCTGTTGAGTTTTCGTCGAGCAACTACTCTGTGGCATGGAAGTTGTTACGCGATCGATTTGACAACAAAAGATTACTGATACAAAATCATGTATCTGCCCTGTTTAATATTGAGTCGCTCTCAAAGGAATCTTCTGTTGCATTAAAGAGTTTGATCGATCAGCTGAATAAAGATTTACGAGCTTTAGAATCTTTAGAGGAGCCAGTAAAGCAGTGGGACACGCTGCTCATTTATATTGTCACTCGTAGGCTTGACCAAAAGACGTATCGTGAGTGGGAAGAGTGTAAAAGTAGGTTAGACAAAGCCGATTACATTTGATGTCTTTATGCAATTCTTACGTAGTCGAGCCGATCTAATCGAGACATTAGAAATATCTCGCACAAATAATTCCCAAACGGTAGTTAAAACAGGTCCTCAAATTAAGTCTATGGTAGCCACACAG